GTCGTCTTCTGTTCAGATGAAGAAACTGAAATAGAGAAAGCTTGTGTTTAAGATCACTAGCAAGAAGTAGAGCCAGAAGCTGAACCAGTTACTGTGAATACAAATCTAGCACGCCTTCTACTCTACCACCACGCTCTGCCAATTTCCTGTCGTTTTTATAAAACTAATTTGTCCATTTAAATCATGTAGTTCTAGATTAGAGGTTGTTATATATATTTTGAACTGTATTTATCCTCTTAGATATAAATATATCTTATTTCTGTGATTTCTACTATTACAGTCAATTGGCCTTCTTTCTGCTTTCCTTCCTTTTTCTTTTTATCAATTAGATGATTGTTATAATTATATCAGACGTTTTGGGTAATGGTAATAAGGAAAACAATCGAGTTTTCTTGCACAGACTAAGCATACATATATAATTAGGTAATGAATATTCAGTATATATTAACATAGTACTGTTAAGTATGTAGTCATATATTTTTTCTTGTTGTGAATTAAGATATATATGCACATTCATTGTATGTGTTGAAATTATTTAAGTGGATAAAGAATCCTATACTTTGACAAAATCTGTGCACATGTGAAAAAATATAAAACTGCAAGATCCCATTTCATTATTTTTGAATATGAAGACTATGAACTTTTTTGATTTTAAAAATATACTTTTTTCATTTCAAAAACATAGAGAATATGGTTAGCCCAGAGACTACTTTTTAAAAATATTTATTATACATCAATGTGGCCAATTTGATAATTTGGCAAGGTTTTAAAGTAAATTAGTCCTTCCTTCTCTGAATTCTTCATCTCCTTCTTTGTGTACCAAAGCCCTCATGCTCTCTTCTCTTTGGCTTTTTAAGAAATGATTTGATGTCAGTAATTTACGTCTTTGTGGAATTTTAGGTCAATGTTTTACTTCTCTAAGAGTTATTTGCATGTTAATATTTTAAAGTAATGCCACAATAAAAGCTTTCTTCTCAACATAATTTTAGGAATTATCTAGAATGTGGAGTGACATATTTAGAGGGAGGGACATGACTTATTGAACATAGCTGAGGGACCTTCTATTCCACATCTACATAAAACTGATGATGAAACCAACAGATCATTTGATAGACGTCTTCACATGTGTTTATTAAAAATGCATTTCATTGTCACTAAATGTCCACTGTATTGAAACTATAGTTAGGCTACTGATGCTACACTACGATAAACTTGACACTTTAGGTCAAGGTATTCAATACTGTGTCTATAATGTGTTCAGTAAGGAGTAACACAGTGTTTTTATTTTTCCTAGCTAACAAATAATGAATCAAATATTCTCATAGATAGCTTTATGTTAAGTGGAAAAATTACTTGTTTTCATTTTATTGCTTTGAAAGCTAGCAGAATTATGCTAAAAATGTTTCTTTTGGGGTAGAACCTCTCAGAACTTTCTTATGAAACTCTTGGAGTGCCCCCCCTAAGATTACTGTTCTGGGGACTCAAAACAAAACTAATGCAAGTCTACTGTTTAGCCTAACAGTTTGCAGGAGGAGAGAGAAAATCTTGAAAGCTCCCAAATATTTGTGATGGCTCTGGAGCTTCTACTGCTTGTGTTCTGTTATGGGATGTATTTTATACATTTTAAATTTGATCCAGATAACTCAGTAACTCACCATGAGTAAAACAGACCGCTTTTGTGCAACCTACTTCTGTTCAGTGATCTTGCTAATGAGATTCTATAAAAATGGTGTGGATACTCTGGCCATTTCTAATACTATAGATTGATTTCAACATCATCTTAGGTATAGGATTAGAGTAGAGATGACTGGAGACATGAATGTTGGGTCTAGCCATGACCTATTACTACTGCAGGCTTAAATCTTAGCTTATATAATGTTGATGTTTGATTTCGCTGAATTACTTTTTACCACTTAAAAGTAGTTTTTTAAAAATCAATCCCACATAAACTTGATTCATCCAGCTTTAACAAACTTTGTAAAGCATAGTAGAGGAGTATTAGACCCAAAATACTCTCAGAGGATATTTAGACTGCAAAATTTCTATTCACACTTACTGAAATTTTTCTCTTGTCTGGATCACTATTGGATTAACTATGAATGAAAGCAAAACACCGTGGGGTATCTGGGTTGCTCAGTCGGTTGAGTGTCTGATGATTTCAGCTCAGGTCATGATTTCAGGGTCATGTGATCCAGCTCTGTGGATCTGGATCAGGCTCTGCACTCAGTGGGGAGTCTGCTTGAGATTCTCTCTCCCTCTCCCCCCCCCCGCCACACTTGCTCAAGTGCTTTCTCTAAAATAAATAAATAAATCTTTTTTAAAAAATAAACTATAAAAGCAAACACCTCAAAGGAACCAAATATCTGAAGATATTTTGCTTATATTGCATGAAATAAATAAGAATAGAGATGGAGTTTAGTTAGAAAGAAGTGAAAATGTTGGGGAAGAAAAAAATCTAAAATTTTCCAAATTAACAATTCATGATGAACAAACTGCATGCCAATATCTTTTCATACATTGTATATCTTATTCTTCACAATATCTATAGAAGATATGGTTGTTCACACATTTATTTAACAAATATTGGTGGAGCACTTATTTTATTCCAAGCACTATTCTAGGTGCTGTGGACATATCAGTAAGCAAGAGCGACATGGTCCCTGTTTTCAGGGGGCTTACATTTGAGAAGGAGCAACATACCATATACAGATAAGTACGGGGTGATATGATTAGAAGTGTCACTTGAATTAGACTGGTATTTTTGGTTGGATGGACAGACCAAGATCCTGGCAGCCGCACACATTGAAGATATGAAGAGAAGGTGCTGGAGGAGGGAAGAGGAATCTCAAAGGTCCTAAGTCAGGAAAGAACTTTGTACATTTAAGGAATAGAAAAAAACAAAACAAAACAGTGTGGTTAGAGCAAAATCAATGAGAGACAATGTGAGGGGAAAAAGTAAATCAGAGCCCATCACTCTTGTTCAAAATCCTCCGAGAGCTTCTCATTACACATAGAATAAAATCCCCAAACTTGTCAGGGGCCTCCAAGTTTCTACACAGATATGACTTCTGCCATCTATCCAACCACTTGTCCTCTGGTTTACTTCCACCAGCAACACTTGCTCACTGGCCAGTATGCTAAGCATCCCCAACCTCAGGATGCTTTTATTTGTTGTTTCCACTGTTCGGAATTCTCGTTCTGTAGATATGTGCATCACTTCCCCATTTTTTAAAATTCATTTTATTTTCATTCTCTGTTCAAATGTTACAATTTTAGAGAAGCCTTCTCCGAATGTCAACGTAAAATCTCATCTCCTCCTATCCCTTTCTTTTCCTTTACCTTGTGTTCTTCTAGTTGCTATGGCTGCATAAAAAAATTACATCAAAACTTAGCTCCTTAAAACAAAAATCATTTATTATCTCTCATCATTTCTGTGGGTCAGGAATTTGAGAGTGGTTCAGCTGGGCATTTCTGGCTTGGAGTCTTTTATGAGGTTGCAGTCAGACAGTGGGCTGTGACAGGTGTCATCTCTCAGCCTTCATTCACATATCTGGCACCTGGTCTAGGAAGATTCAAAGAGCCAGGGACTAGAACAGTTAGGGCTCCTCAATCACCTTTCTCTTTCTCTATAGGGTTTCTCCAGCATGGCGGCTTCATGGTAGTAAGAATTCTTACATGTGGCTCAAGGATCCAAAGGCAAATGTCTTAAGAGAGAAAGAGCCAGGCAGAAGCCCTATCACCATTTATGATCTAGCCTTGGAAAGTCAGGCAATGTTGAGGCAATTGCAAAAGTTTACCCAGCTTCAAGGGAGAAGGGGAGATGTAGGCATTGCCTCTTGAAGGAGAAATGCTGATATAACATTATAAGAACATGTAGGATGGTATATATATATATTATATATATAAATAATATATAATATAATAATATAATAATATCTAATTATTTATTATATTTTATAATATTAATATATTAATATATAACGAATATATATAAATATATAATAATATAATATATAATAATATATATAATAAATAATATATATATTCTCCAATATTTGGGAAATAAAATTGTCACATTGCTTGATTCTTTCTCCAAAGCAGTTTTTACTCTAATTATTGCCTGTCTCCTTCACTAAAATATAAGCCCTATAAAGGTAGGACTCTTGTCTGTCTGCTTTGCGGCTGGTCAATCTTCTCTACTATCCAAATAAATGGTTAGCATAGAGTAAGCACTCAACATTTTCTTTTCTTAAATGAATAAACATTTCCTGAATCAGTGATCTATAAAGCAATGGAAGTATTATGAAAACTAGCACTTTAGAGATGGAAGAAAATTTTATAGTATTCTATAAATGGTACCAGAAATGTAACAGGGTAAAAGAACAAACTAAAATTATCTTAAAAGTGAGTTGTTTTTCACAATGTGTGCCTCAATAGAAAAAGAAAAAAAATGCTTCTGTTATAATATTTTGGAAAAACTATGACTCTTTTTATGATATTATATTTACTAAGTTCTCAATGCTATAAATTGCAACAGATGAGGAGTGGCAAGTTGAGATTGTACTCTGCTCTTGTATATGGATTATAACTTTGCAAATAGCTTATCACTCTTGTAGTCACAGCTACACAAATGCAGTCATTCAGCTCATAATAATATTAATGAAGATAAGCTGTATGGTACAGCTTACTTTACCATTTTCAATGGGCCTAAATTTCTGCTTCTTTTAAGTTGGATTCTGGACATACAGAAGGAAACTACTGCTTGGATCTTTACTGTAGCCAAGAAATATTCATTTGAAACTCATTCTCCATAACCCTAAGCGTCGTGGTTTGTGACACATACATGGGAATGAGCCTTAAAGTTGTCCTCTTAATAACAAGTCTCAAGGGCATAAGAATCATTGCATCAACAGACAAAATGGGTGATTTTTCATGTGAATTGAAAACAACCTAAATGCTCACAAAGAACTGTTGAGAAATTAATTACATACCACCAGCTGAGCTTTGCGCAGTGGCAGTATCGTAGCCAATGAGGTTTATCCGAGGCGCGATTATTGCTAATTGAAACATACCACCAGCTGATGTACAAGCATTTAAAAAGATGCTGAAAAAGAGAAGGCAAAAAATAATTTTTCATAGCTAATAGGAATACCTAACTAAAACTCCAAGATAATTAACTAAAAAATTAGGATATAAAATTCAACAAGTTATCTGGATAGAACATTATAAAAATACCAATAGTTTTCATATAAAAAGCTATGATTAGAAGACCCAATGGTAAAACAAGAAAGTGTAATACCAACAAAATATAAAACACTTAGGATTGGTGACAAGATATGAAGGAAGCACTAAATTGAGAGGCAATGCAGTAAAGGATTTAAGGAGTGTGGTCCCAACTGGCTGCTGCGACATCTCAGCAGGGCTGCAGAATGGGTCTGCAAATTTTAAGTAACAAAGTTGTCACTGGTGACACAAGTACAAAAAACTGTGGCTTCTGTTTTCACCACTAGAACTTACCAGAGGATCATCAGTTCTTCATCTGTCACAGAAGGAAATTGTGTCACCCAAGAACATAGCCAAAGATGTGAAGGTGGTTTTTCAGTCACTTCTGTGGGATCCTCCGAGGCACAGGATTTTAACTCCTAGCATGAACAGCAAACTTGAGGCTTGTTTTGCTCTGGGTGACACCGTTGGCTTAGAAAACTCTCCCCAAATCTGGATCCAGGAAGACAATCAACAGTTCACCAAGGAACTGGACGCCAAAATGACCAATGGAATTCTCCAGAAACAAGCAGTGGCTCATGCCAACCCCCCTTCTGGGGGACCTGAAACCAGCCTTTGAAGAGAGGTGTTGCAGCGAGCCTGGCTTGGCTTTCTTGGTTGGCCTGGATTCCTCAAGCTCTCCCAAGACTCTGGGAAGTCTTGAAAACCAAAGGGCATCTCTAGGACAAACGTCTGGTTCATATTCCTTAGATACTCCTTAAATAAATGTGTTACATTCACTTCTGAAATCCTAGAAGACCCTTCAGGGATGGCGTCCCAAGACGGGGAGGATCCTCAGAGGCTACAGTAGGAAAAGGGCCCCTCCCAGACTTCTGGCTGGCCTTGACCTGCCCCGTGCACCTGGGCACTACCTATTCCCTTCCCCAGTCGCCCCTTTCAGGTCCTGAGAGCACTGCCCTGGACAGCCCTTGAAGGCTGGAAGGGCCATGTCCCCAAGTCCTCAGAAGTAAAGGCCATTGGCCAAATAAGGCTAGAATTTAACTTCTCTGATGATGCCACCAGCAAAAGGCCACCCCTACCAAGAAAGCTGGGAGAAAGAACTGGCCTCAAACCTTTCTTGCAGAGACCAGGGTCGAGACAGGAAAATGCCCTGAGGAGGCACACCAGGGTCCTGTTCCCTCTCCCTGGGGGGGGTCCCTAGGGGGGTCCCTACAATGTGGGTGACCCAAAGTTTCACCCATTTGTAGGTGGTGGAGAGGCTCGGCCCCCAGAACGCCCCTGGAGCCGGCGGGCGGCCGGTGGAGCCGGCCTGCTTTCAGACTCAGTGACTGACGCACCTTTGGTGCAGGCCGGGGCGCAGGCGCCAGCCGCGGAGGGACCCGCCAGCTCTTCTGGCGCGTGGGTTCCCACCAGCAGTCCAACAGCGAGCCCACGGCCTCGCCTGCTGACTCAGTGCCTCTGACTCTCTTGCAGGGGCCAGAGTCCGCCTTGGACCCCAATGAAGAGCACAGACCCTGCTACTGCTTAAGCACCAGAGCAGAGGGTGATTATCTGAAGCAGACTGGAACGTCCTCATTTAAGGAGATGGCCTTGAGGAAATAGTCCTTATACCTCAAGTTCTACCTACTCCTGAAAAACAAGCCTCAGAGACCAGCGCCCCTGGCGGCTGAAACCAGCGGCGCAGCCAATGCAGACGTAACTTCCTCAGGGAGCCCACGGGCGGCCAAGCTGGTAGAACTTGATTCCTTCCGAGCTCCGGGTGTTCCAGAGCCAGATCAGTCCATGTGTCCTCAGGCCAGCAGGTCCGTGGTGCCCGTGGTGCCCATCATGGACGTGCCGCAGCACAACCAGAAGGACCCGGACGCAGCAGGGGAAGGAAACAAAAGGAGAGGCTGTTGGTGAAGAACAGCTGTGCGGAGCTCTACGCAAAGCACCTGGAGATGGGGAAGATCATGGATGGGTTTGAGGGGACAGTGTACCAGGGGGATGGTGGAGGCTCAGAAACAGAACTTGCCAAAGCCCAAATCCAGAAGGTTCTGAAAGGAAAAGGCCAACTTACTGCACACCTGAACTACATGGAAAACTATTTTTCTGACCTCTTCAAGAAGGTGATTGAAGGCTACTGCACGAATGAAGATTCGCTGAAGTTATGTTGAAGATAACACAAGAACTGAAAAGGAAGGCCAGAGATACCAAGCACTGAAGACCCACGCAGAAGAGAAACTCAAGCTGCTAAACGAGATCACCCAGGTCTGGAGCAAGGCCCAAGTGGAGGCCTTGACCATCCACGTGAGCTTGAGGAAGGAGCAGATGTGCATCTAGTTGCTGGAGAAGGCCATTGAGCAGAAGACTAAAGTAAATGATGAACTCATCAGAATCCGTGACTTTATTTCCAAGATAGAAAAGATCTGACATGGAAATATGGGATCAGTGTCTGTCTCCCTTGTCTGTCTGTCTTTCAAAAGATCTCATGTTCTTTCTTGACTCTTATTGTTTTTATACTGGATTGCTTTAACAAGAAGTCTAAATAGTTTCCCTTTAGTCAATGATGAGGAGGAAGAGGAGGGGGAGGGAGGGGGGAATAATTATTCAAGAGTTGAGACTTTGGAATTACACAAATCTAGGTTTAAATCCTGACTCTGTCATGTACTAGCTGGTAGGCTTAATCTCTTAATTACCTTATCTATAAAATGGTTGCAATAATTGAAATACTGATGTGAGATTGACAATTTATGCCTGGAAAAAGCACTTGAAAATAACATCTACTAAATATAATTTAAAATGCATCAAAATATTATTAGTAAAACTGTGGGACTTACATAATAGACAGATGGAGCAATAAGATAGCACAGATGCTTCAGGGACAAATACTAGTATATAAAAATATACTGTTTGATAAAGGCCACAATACAAATCAATGAGGGCAGAAGAAAAATTTTAATAAATGGTTCTAAGCTGTGGGTGAAATCTTTGGAAAAAATAGCTAGATGTGTACTTTTCACATAAATAAATTCCATAGATAGCACAGATGCTTCAGGGAAGTTAGAGCACTAAATAAACAAAATGAAACTATGTCAATTAGAATAAAATCAAAGTGAGTAAGAATTGGATATTGACATAGGGAATAAACTTCAAAGGCAAAAGAGCAGTAGCAGAACCACAGAGAAGAGATGGACAGATTTGACTACATAGAAAATTAGGTCTGGGGGTGCCTGGGTGGCTCAGTCAGTGGAGCATCCAACTCTTGATCTCAGGGTGGTGAGTTCAAGCCCCATGATGGGTGTAGAGATTACTTAAAATTAAAAAAAAAATCTTTAAAAAAGGTCCAAATGACACCAAAAATGTAATTAAGTATTTGTATCATTTATGATAGGACGAATGTTAGTATAAATATCTAAAGAACATTTACAAATCAATAATAAAAATTGTAAACCCTATTAGAGAAAAGTGAACAAAAGGTGAGGCAAGTTATTTAAGTGGTAAAAAGACCCCCAAAAATTAATACAAGAAATCCCAACAACAAACTTAAATTCACTTTTTTTTGCTTATCATATTGGTAAATAATTTTAAAGAGAAACATATAATATACATTATTAGTTAGTGTCCCCTGAGATTGGAACATTCATGTATTGCAGAAAGAGAATAAATCAGGGTAAATGTTAAGGAAATTATACTAGATTTATAATCCTTGACACAATATTTCTCCTATACAAATTTGTTCATAAGAACTAGAGATGCAATCACTAATGTGCAAAAATATATTTATTAGAGGATTATTCATCATAAGGCAAAATTGGAAAAAAATTAGGGATGGACAAATAATGGTAAAATCAGATGATGGTATACTATGCAGTAGTTAGATGAACAATTTTAAAGAAAAGTTAAGGGAATGGGAAAATATTCATAGTAAAATTTTAAAAGGAAAAGGAGTATGCAATTTTATAAACCTCTATATCATAATCTAATTTTTAGTCGTTGCTTTCTCTCAGGGGTTATGGGTAACTTTCCTTTTTTACTTTACATTTTTCAGTATTATTTCAAATTCTCCATAATAATTATATGTATTTTAATATTCAGGAAATGTGCAAAATGCTGGTCTTCATATCGTATTAAGTAAGCAAAACATTAAAATGCATATGCAGATGGCTTCAACTATGTAAGTAAAAGTATTTATTTTTACATCATTTTAATATTAAAAAAAAAACCTGCAAAGGAGTTTTATGTCTATTTGGCAAGCAGTGGACAACCTGAGAAAGTTCATGGGCAGGGCACCATGTGATCAGAGCAGCAGTTAAGATGAATCGCCTGGGAGGGTGCTAACAGCTGATGGGGAAAGGTGACTCAGATCAGGCTGTGGTAGACACAAGGACAAGAAGGGGTTGATTTTGAGTTATTATCAGGAGCATAACTGAAAGTACTTGGAGTACTTGGAGACTGGGAGTGGGACATGAAAGACAAGTAGGAGCCAAGAACTTAAAAAATTTCCTGAATTTAAAAAATCCATACAATTATTGTAAAAAATTTGAAATAATAAAGGAAAATACAAGATAAAGCAAAATAAAAATAAAGGTGCCGGTTTACAGAAACATGGAAATTTGGAGGAAAAGCTGGTTTGAAAGAGATAAGTTAATTTTTAAACCTGCGTTGTTTGTGGCTAGTAAGAAGATACTAAAGACATATTTAAATATCTCTCTTAGTTTTTATTATGCAATATATAAAGAGTAAAAAAAATCAAACAGGAGAGAAAGGTGCACATTAATATCAAATCTCCTACTGAATTTCCTACAACTACTGGAAGTCCTATTCTTTGCTAGTAACCACTTTCAATTATTTTCATTTTTATTTCCTCTGGTGATCAATTCCAAATCTGCTCAAACCTCGATATCTTAATCTATCAACATCAAACATTAC